AAAAATAGCTTTTTATTGTGTTATTAGCATGTATATATAGTGACAGTCGGGAAAAATCGCGCCGCTCGACTGCCTTTCAAAAGCACACACGCCACAAGCAGCAACTAATGCACCTCTGTTCTGCGCTATTACGGTCAATACGCATCCACGCATAGGCGCGAAATTTAACAAGTTTACGAGATTTCCTCGACAAGTCATCACTTCAATCGATACTCACCTAATGTACCTAAGCGCACGATCCGTTATTGCTGTACAGTTCTCTAGATTCAAATGAATCAACTTGTGGCAATGTCTACCAAGATTCTCGCAAGTCCTAAAATTGGATAGAGGAATAAAGTTTGGGGCATTGGAAACGAACATTAAAAGCTTTAAAGTCTCTAAAGATACTCACGCATCTGTCACTCGTTTACATTTATACAAACTGAGATGTTCAATATTGGCACATTTCGCTGTGAAAGACCGTAATGCTGAGTCCTAAAACTACTGGCACTAAGAAGAAAATCGAAATCTTATTTTGATGAGTAGTGATGTGCTAAATGAAAGAATAATCTAAAAGGACAGCAAAAAAAGCAGTGAAGAAAAATAGAAGATAGCGACACCCTACCTGTATATTTTCACATCCTTTCAATGAAAGCTTCTTCAGAAAACCGCCACACCGTCGAGCAAGATTCTCGACGGTTGCTGCCTACGATATCAAAGCATTAACAGATTCAGAAAATTTTGGATCATGCATTATAGATAGGATGTGAATTGTCTAAGATAATTTGCCAATTATTTCAAAACAAAGCGTAACAAAAAATTTCAGAATTTTTCTGTTGGCGCAGAAACATTCGTCATATTAATCCACCCTATTTTGTCCCTGATGTTCATCATCCCTAACCAAAAAAAACAAATCAGAAAATTTTCACCACATGCTGTTCCTGTTGATATGGCGAAGAACGCGCATATATGCGCATGTACCGTTAACCTATGCCATTTTTAAAGCTGGAGAGTTGCAAAATTTAAATTGCTGTACCTTAACGTCCTTTTGAAACGTGAACAAATCGACCCGTTGCCAATTAGAGCCATCTAGCGCCAAAATATTCCATAATCGACAAGTTTGCGCGCATCGGCATAACGTTTTCATATCGAGGTAAGAAAAAATTCTAAAAAAAGGCAAGACTGTCCAGATAACTTGTTACCTACGCATGAAACGTTTACTCTGAGCGAATTAAAGGAACTGATTGAACTTACCGCAATATTAGCTCCTTCGGCAAAACTTTATTGATTAGCGCTTGTTCACTTGGCGCTGGAGCAAGTGTCGTTATTAGATACATCTAAAATGATGGCAGAATAATCCGAGGAATACGAGGAACATATTCTAGAAATGTTAACAAAGGAAATAGGGCAAAATTATTTGTTAAAAAAAAAGAAAATAAGATGTTTGAATGTGTGATGGGAAAAATGGAAATATAAGATATGTTTTAAGCAAGACATTTTCTTCAAAGCTTTAACTAA